AGCAAAAGTGGAACTCCGGTGCCCAATTGGACAGCAGGCTCTCTCCCGGTGATTATAATACAGTGTGTTTTTCACAATAGCTAGAGAGAAGAGTACGGAGTTTTCATCACAAGAAATGATGTTTGAGATGACACACACGCTAATTAGGCTGATGTAATCTTGACACTGTGTGTGCACACATGGAAAACTCGCATTGTATCGCATGCATTTTTTTGTCATTGTATATCTGTTAAAACACGTGAGAAACACTAAAATCAATTCTACATGTGCTGAGTATCCTCTGGCTTTCTTTTTCCCTTTGAGGACTGGGGAGGTGGGGCTTGAAGAAGTCCTTCCAAACTATCAAGGGGGTGATCCGCTTACAGGCTGGTGGTGTTTAAATGTAGCCTGCTAAACCCCATGTCTCCTCCAGAGCTCTGGAGACTGTTGGCATAGGGGTGTCCTGAGAAGGGCTTCAACACTGTTTCTACCTCCTGTTAATATCCTTTAATTTTCCATTAGTTCACTAGAGTGACTTCAGTTCAGTTGGCAATGTTAATTCTCTGCCTGCACAAGCCAAAGGCCACTGAAGATGAGCTGGGTTTTGTTTAGTAGCTGACAAGACTCAAGAGTACTCTAAACTGATTGTTGGATCTCCTTTCATCCTGATCATATTGGACTTCTCTCAGCTTAGCCATTGGAGCTGGAGGCCTCACCTGTGATATATGAACACAAGAAGAAAAAGCCATGCATGACTTAAAGCTAGCTCCAGTAGTTTGCTGAAGGCTCTATGGAATTGTGCAGGTAAACTACTGGAGGATGAACGGTGATATGAGGGATCTCAGGTTGTGCCTGAGCTAACACGAGCTCTCAGTACAAACCCAAAGGACTGCTTTTATTCTTCCACTTGATCAATTTGCTTACAGCAGCATTACTGACGGACTATCACTAGAATCTTGTCAGGCAGGTCTAGGCAGGTCCAAATCAATAGGACCCTTCATTGTCACTATATCATAATTTTAATTGTCCCTTTCTATTACACTTAGCAATGAGACACCAGGCAAGACTGGACTCAAGAATAAACTTTCAAAGAGAGAGAATGTCCACTTCAAAAAGCTGTACTGGAAAGAGCAGAACTGATTAGGACCTATGTCTATATTGATGTGCGTGAGTATTTATGTTGTGAGACACGCTCTTTGTTCTAGAACAGAGACTTGGGAAGACATCAGATGCATAGCATCCTGGTGTACATGAAGGGAGAGGACATGCTAACAAGACCATCTGAAGTAGAAATAAGATCTACAGAATCAGAAGATGATGCTAACATTCTAGACTTTAATACTGGGCACCAATTTTAGATTTTAGCGCTGATCCCTATTCTAGACACGAGTATCAAACACCGAGTCTAAAGTATCATATCAAACAATTCAGCATATGCATCTTCTATGGTCACCATTCATCCTAGAATTTACATGGGCTGTTTGTGGTATTTGTGTGGGGGAGGGTATGAATGAGTGAGACAGGGTCTCTCATTAAATCTGAAGATAATCAATTCGGCTAGGCTGAATGACAAATGAGATTCAGGAATCTGCCCATTTCCACCCTTCACCCACCCTGCAAATGTTGGAGTTATAAGCATGAACCATCGTTCCTGGCTTTTTACATGGGTTCTCAGATTATTATGCTTGCACAACGGGTCCAACTGTTCTCCCCAGACTCAAGGGACTTAAAAACACAAATCTCTTAAAATTATCCCCTCCTCTCTGAAGGTCTTTGTGTCAATGGCTTGGCCTCCCATCTCCTTATGAGCACAACAGGAGACAAATGGCCTCCAAGCACCAGCCTTAACAAGGACTGGTCACGGGCCACGCCTCCAAGGAGAGGTGTGTCAGGCAGCAGTTAGAAGAGAGGTCTTTAAAACCCTGTGAACACTTTTAATACATTACCACCTCTGGGAACCAGCTACTTCCCTTCCCACTTCAGAAAACATGTAATGGGGCTTTGTGTTTCAATTTAAAGTCCCTTACAAAACGGAAATCCTTTCCTTTATAAGTTAAAAAAAAATAGCACAGGGGGAAAGACAAGGCAAGAGAGGAACGAATTAGGCAGTCTCGGAAGCACTGCTGGCCCAACTGGAAACCAGCGACCAAAGCAAGCCCCGTAATAGTGTAATGACCTTTAATGAGTGTCTTGGGAAACAATACAGCCCCGGCATAAAAGACAAAGGGCAAAACCCATCATGGTTCTGCTGACACTAATTCAAAATGATCTTCAGAACAACTAAAGAATGTAAGAGAAGTAATCTGACCTGCTCGTCTGACCTCACTTTGATTCCAGGGCCCTTCTCCTGCCATTTCTAATTGTCAACCCCTCTCCATTTCACGTCTGATCATATTTAATGAAAAGCCCACTCTCACCACTTCTCCTAGAGTCAATTCACTCTGTCAAATGGGCACCACCCAAACCACCACCCGGGTGGGGTACCCAGAGATTGCTATGGCACACTGCCAGGGGAATTCAGCAGAGACTGAAGGTTTCTTTTTTTTTTCTTCTTCTTCTTTTTTTTTAATTGGAGAAGAACAGCTGACATGGGCCTATAAAGAAGTTCATCTTGGAATGGATTTTTCTAACTTATTATTAGTGGTCAAAGGTGAGTGGTCTCACATAGGGATGGATGAAACCTGCCTTTGTGTGACAAAGTGAAGACGATGAAACAGAGAAGCCAAGCCACCGCCAGAGCTGTCAATACCATTTAAGGCCTGAAGCTTGTTGTCTTACACAGTGGGGGTTGCCCATGGAGGCAAGACAGATGACAATATTATGAACAGGGTATTTCTGAGAGAATGGGACATTCTTACCCCAAGATTTTCTTTCCCTGGTCTCCATCAATGCCAGGATTAAATTGCAGAGTTGAGAAACCCCTCCAATTATGGTTTTTCTTGAATAAAATAGAAATTGCACACATTGGACACCATGAGCCTCACACATGGGGACATAGATTTTTACTGTGATTGGAGCGGATGGTCAGTGAGCCAAGACATGACCACAGGACCCTAGCACAGAGCCAAATTGGCTCCTTATTTTTTCCACCAAATCCATGGTCAAGGTTTTGGAGTGTGGTGGTTACTTGAGAAAAGAAGAAATTGTGCCTTAGGCTGAAGAAGGTTGGCAGTCACGTTCACCACTGTCAATCAAAGGATCTGGCCCAATGGTGCCACCATTGCTTACTCCATTGTCTTCCTAACCAACCTGATGTCTTGCTGCACATCACAGACAAATTCTTTGTGTAGTTGTGACCTGGGTTACCTAGGCTACATAACAAACAACTGAGAAAAAATATCCTTGCAGGCAAAACAAAGGGATATGGACTTGTACTGAGCATCCATACAGACAAATTAAAAACAAAGCAAAACGAAAAAGTCAAAAGTCCTTTCTAAAATTTTGGGCCCAGGTGCCTGGCAGTCTGTAATGAAGAGGCCATTAAGTACCACTTTTAATCAATCTTGCCCCTCAGCCCTTCTCAGGGCACAGTGGATGGTGAATCAGAGCGGGTGGCTCACTGGTCTCAGACCAGGCTTCTGAATGCCTTCAATACACAGCTGCATACAGCTTACAGACTTCAAAAGAGAACCACAGCTTTGGACGCCAGCACTGGCATGTCTTAGCTCTCTATACAGTGAAATTGGAGCGGTCACACTGGATAGCCATACGTGCTCTGTTTTGGGACTGTCTTCACAGGGACAGTGATGACTTGACCATGTGCATCTGTCATAGGAACAAATGCTCATGAATAAATGCCCCTCTTCTTCCTTGTGGTGGGTGTGAACCACCACAGGGAGAAGAGTTCAGCCCCGTTTGATTACTTAGGAGAAGAGTGCGTGGGTCAGCTAGCAATGCAGCACCAAGTACCATGCTGGGTTCTTTAAAGAGAAATGGATGAAACAGAGAGAGAATCATCATCCCCTGCATCCTATACTACCACCAACAGGAATGCAAGGCTATGGTCAGATTTCAAGAGCATCCAAGTTCTCATGCAGAATCCAAGCTTTTCTGCCAGTGGTCAAGGACGTGCATCCCTAGCATCGCAAACCAACGCATTGTGCAGCATCGCCTACCAACTTGACCAGCCAAATGAAAACAGGGATGAGGTTGATCTCAGGAATGTGGTTCATCAGGCTCAGCCTCTGTCACCTGCATGAAGGCCTTCACAGGGATGAGCTTGGCGGTGACAAAGGTCTGAGCTACAAAATGGAGGAAGTCCCAGAGATTCGGGATTTAAATCTTTCTCATTTAGATTCATGATTGCTACAGAATACCCTGGTTAAGTGGGACTAAGTTGTTGAGAAAATATGAGATGCTAATGAGTGTCTCAGGAGCCTCCTTTGAGTGAGCCAACTTTTTGAAGGAGGCACTAGAAACTGCCCATGTATGGAGGGTGGCAAATTCAAAAATAAATATTCTCTTCAAGAACTGAGGATAACATCTGGTAAGAAATACACAGGACAAAATTGTGTGTGTGTGTGTGTGTGTGTGTGTGTGTGTGTGTGTGTATGTATGTATATAAACATCTGCCTCTAGATGCTGTTGTATTTTTTTTGAAATGCTAGCAAGCTTTTTCTCCCTATTCCTTTTTCTGCATCCTTTTGATCTACCCCCCCCCCACTTAATAGTCACCTCTAAAATCTCAGGCCCACATTTTCACATATCCTCTATTAAAATAACACTTGCCATCCTGTCACTGTACTTTCCATTTTCACTTATTTAGACAAGAGAGAGGAAAGCTATCAGCAGGCTGCCACATGCCAGTCTTGGTCACTATCACAAGAAGCACAAAAAAGGTCAGAATGGAAAGCCTTATCATATACACAGAGACACAGGCAACATGTCATCACATACAAGACCACATTAGGAAGGCGACACCAGCTCAGAGGACTCACAGGACCACAGACCACAACACAAGACAGGGCTGATATCACAGACGAGCACAGACATGGAACTGTGTGTGTTGAGGTTAAACTTACAGGCACGGAAACTGGCGGAGCAATCATTAACAGAGACAGAAGAAAGCGGGAAGGCTCTCTCAAGGGTGTCCACGTTACCACGCACACGGCCTGACATGCACGAGCAGTCACGCTCAGAACGTCCGCAATCAAAACAACATGCTCGTCTCATTCTCTTGTAGATGGACATCTTGGCTATAACCACGTGGTTGGATGGGAGGAGAGGAAGAGCAGCAGTTAATGACAAGGTCACATACAGCAGGGCAGCTGGGAGGGCACTGGAGGGTTGGACACAGGTCTTAGTTCATGTTAACAGTCTTGACCCAGAAAAAAAATACAGTGACTGTTGGTGACAGTTTCGTTGTACATCAAAAAAGCAGTGAAAATATAAATTGCCTTTATCGTCCCCCAAGGTTGTTGCATATTGTTTTTGTCCCCTCGATGGAGCGGTGACCACACGAAGAAGGCATGACTGAACACATCCCGGTTCTTGGATAAAAAAAGAGCAAATTACAGACAGCAAAAATGTAACCACCATTCTCCCCCTCGTACAATTAATGCAGGAGGGCAAAAGAGACACACAGCCAATCAGTTAAATGAATTGCTTATTTGGTACAATAAATTGTTTTTTTTGCAGAATGCAAACATATCTAATATGTAGACTTTCTCATTTCCATCCATTTCTGGGCATTAAGCAGAGACTGGGACAAGCTTCCATCAAATTAAATGTGAAACAATTACATGTTAATATCAGATCTAAGGATGCTTTTGCTGAACTTCCCAGGAGTGAGCTTACATGATAGCTACAGGAATTTAAATTTACTCTTGACAGAACAAATAACCAAATCTGTCCATATAAGAAATGTTGCTACTCAAGGCTAACGCTGCATATTTGACATTAAAGGAAGTTCACAAATAAAAAATTACCCAAAGCAATATCAGATGTTGGTCTCTGGAATGCTGTTAGCTACTCATGGGTGTATTTGTTGTGAGTGCTGCCTTTTTCTCCCTGCCCACCAGAAAACCAGAAGACAGTTAGGTGGTTCAATCATATTTTTCCTTATATAGAAACTATTGCCCAAAACATATTAAAAACAACAAAACACGAAATATTGGCCATATTAACTATCTTTTTGGCATTTTCAGGGACCCTCGATAGTTCTTTTAAGGTTAGCATAGTGTGGAGTTTCGGTATTGACCCAGGAGTCACCTGTAAATACAGACCTGCAATGCTTGTTAATATTCCCATTGTTTCCCATGCCTTTCCCTTTTACCCTTCTGGGCAATTTATATTTCAGTACAAGAGAAGCCTTTTGACCTCATTTTGATGCTACACCAGGCAAACATGTTTGTTTATCACTTATGCTCCTCTCACAGGGTAGAAGAACACATATCTTTCAAGCATCAAACACTGAACTTGGACTAGGGAGGTGTTATCTCCACACCCACCCCTTCCACATGGGAAGTCACATTATTCCCCTTTATTTTGCTTTGTAGAGGGTGGTTGCCCTCCTACTTTAAAACATAATTTGTTGTTTTGTCCTCTGAATTTTTCAGTCACCAGGAATGGGTTTAAATCTCTCAAATGGGTCAAGCCCTGTACTAAGACCTCCATGACTTGCCATACAGTGGGCTTGTCAGGCAAGGGGAACGTTATGACCGTGAAGAGCAGGCACTGGGGAGGATGGATGAGAGACCTCCAGCAGCATCTCCATTCCTGTGAGTAGGCTCACATTCCCGGCGGCATGGAGCTTTAGCATCCTAAGGACACTGTTTGGATTAACATGCAATCCCAGCCCCATTCAACTCCCAGTATATCAGTCTTTTAAGTTTAGCTTTTACCAAAATAAAAATAAAAATAAGAATCTGCTACAGCATTTGAGTCAGAGGAAGTCACAAGGCATGCTGCCAATGTCCAGGCCACCCTGATCAACAGCAGTGGCTGAAGTCAGGAAAAGAAGGAGAGAGAGTCTTCAATGGAAAACATGAAAGTAAATTTAGCTGGACTGTAACCAGATCTGGTATACAAGCTGGAAAATTAATCTCCTGTTTTTTCTATCTTAACACTTTAACTGGACGTACTGACCTGTCAATTGCAAAGAATAGAACAATGAAGGTGATTTCTTTTTTTGCTTTTTGTTTGCTGTTTCACTGTAGATAAACTATTTTGAAAGTTGTTTTTTTAATCAAATACTGTAGCAGAGAATCCCATCAAACTCAGAAATGCTATGTTTCTCATTAGCAACAGTCCCTGGTTTTCATTTTCATACTGCCATTTCGGGTTCATGCATGGTAATAGAATGTGACACATTTATGGGGAAAGAAAGTTCATATATATATATACACATATATATGTATATATGTATATGCGGAAGGTTGATAGGAGTAGGTAACTTGAATCTTTTTTTTTCCCCACAGAGGTCACCCTATCATAACGGGCAGAGTCTAAGACCCTCCCACTTCTGAAGGTTTCAGGAGGGGGAATAACATCAAGTCAGTGACCCTCAGGAACTGTTTGCAACTGTCATGGTTTGCTGTTGTTCTGGAGACCATGCACTGTTGTTAAATTTTGTATTGTTAGCATGCAGTAACAGGCTGCAACTAGTAACTGAAGCAGCAGAAACCCATTTGCTATAAGAAGATTAACTGTTAATTATAAGCAGTCACATTCCAAAGCAGCATATGCATAAAACAGAAAACATGCTATTACTCATCACTCCTTCCCAGTCATTTTACATTCACACCAAATGCAAAAGAGAAATCTCAAAAGACAAAGAGCACACACACACACACACACACACACACACACACACACACCAAGAATGGTTAACATGAGGCTCAGAGACAAGACACAGTTAAAAATGATTGAGCCCCACATATTGACAAACCTTCATGAACCACAATGTCTACAGTGAAGACGACTAGTTAAGAGTATGCCTCCTTTCCCGCTACCCCAGTCAGGTATGTTGTCACCTATGTACTTGTAGGTCCACTTTCAAAGAAGGGAAGGATGATTCTGACCTTGCATCTGATGGAGTGATCCATCAGGCCGGAGAGATTCCTTCTGGTCCATTATTATTCATGGTCAAGGTCAGCAATGAAGACCTGAAGATTTTCCTGCCACGTGGTACCCGTTCCAGAAAATGTGGGCATCCTATTCTTGGGTTCTAAACTAAAGTTATGGAGGCACCTTCACTGTGGTTTCAATGAATTACAGATTCTCAGAACCTTCTTGGTTTTCTTTTCTACAACCAATTTGGGTTAGAGGATGCACTTAACACCCCCAGGGTTGAGCTTCACAGACCTAGTTGGAACATTTCAGTATCTATTTAAAACACAAGTATCTTATCTATTCCTGATCCTAAAAACATGTCTCCTCTCTATTAGTGTGCACTGAGTTTCTTTCTTAGTAGCCATCCATGGCTCTTCCTAGTCCCCAGAGGAAAGGTTTTACATAGATTGTGAAGGCAAAGCAAAGTAGGTCTATGAGGACATCTAGTGGACGGCTGTAGGAGAGCAGCTTGTTAATGGCATGAAGCAGAACTTGCTGGTTCATCTCTCCTCAAAGAAGAGGGCCTTGTGGTCTCTAAGAAGTGAAATGTGTGAGGTACCACTTCAATTCAATGGCTGCCTCCAATCTGTGAATTTTTAGGGGCATTGAGGACAAATAGATGAGAGGTCCCAGTAGAGGATCCCGGGGGCAGTCAATAGTGGTAGCTTGCAAGCACATCATTTTCATACTGCCCTGGCCCATAGGTTCTCCACACAGCTTGGCTGCAGCTCCCCAAAGGGACTAGACAAAAGTGTGTCTTTTCAGGTGCAGAGCTGCAGCTACTTTTCACTTTATCTCAGAGCTCTTGGGACAACTTTATGTTCTATGAATTGCCCCCAACTTAACTCTGGGAAAGAAGAAATATAAGTCCCCAGGGACTTTGCTTTCTCTTTGGCCCACAAAATGTTCTTGTTCTTGGACCAGTACCAATGATTTGAAGAGGTCACGTCAGTGCCAAGAATCTGATTTTGGGTCTCATCTTCCTCTAAAAAAATATGTTTGAACAGTTTCATCACTTCAGAAGAAAGCTTTTATGTGTTTTTCTTCACAATAATAAAATGGATATTCATCCAATATTTCCATTATGACTTCCTAGTAGTATTTAGAGAGACAAAATAGAAGTACTTCTCTAATGGACATCATCAAAGCTATCTGTTTACTCTTTGTTTAAAATGGAAAGCTTTCTTAGACACACATTTGCACAGTTTTTCCTCTATTCTCAAAGGTCGTGATGGTGAGACATTAAACCTGCTGTAGATGTAGCACCGCTCACTTCTCTTTCCTTGGGACATACTTGATAGGATCGGGTGCCAGGCCTCAGGTCCTGTGCTGGTTGGCCCTTCTGAGCCAAGTCTGGAATGGAAGGAAGGGTTGCAGCCCATTCAGTCTGCAGCACCATCTGCCTCCAGCATCAGAAACCAAATGGCCAGCCAGGTTGCAATTGCAGAATCTTAATTTTGGGGGTGAATTGGAAGGGAGAGGGAAAGCAACATTGCCCAAGAGGCCCAGGTTCCAGCTGTTGGTGGGAAGATAATTCAGGTTTTCAAAGGAGCAAATGTAAGAGGAGACTAGTGCGAAAGGAAAAACAATGCCATTAAATTAAGGCACACTTCTCAGATCATAGTCTTACTTTTCAAATCAGCCCTAGGAAGGGAACCATTGTTTCTTAGCCTGATTTTACAGCTATACTTCACGGGCTTGGTAGCAACTAGAATTATAATTAAACCCTCTGCAGAAGAAAAACCCACCAAAGTTTTTGTTTGAGGTATATTGTTGGATGTAATGCTAGGAAACACAAGTTCTTCCACATCCTATAAATAAGAAATGATGTCTTCACTTAACACAGTTGCTCCTGTTACCTTCTGGAGAAGAAGCATGATCTTACATGTGGCTTTCTGTGATCGGGAAGGAGAGAAGGACAAAGATGAAAATCAGCAACCAGGAGCACACACCCAGCTGGTTGGCCTGGCTCACACCAGTCACTCTGCAGCTGGGCAAGGTGGGAGACTTTGCCACTGGGGCTGCTTGTTGACTGGCACTGTGTAGCCCTCTAGTTCTCAGAGCGCTAGAGTATGACAGTTTGGGGGTGTAGAAGTGGCGCTCTCACATACATTGCACAGAGCCCATTTGAGCAGAACTGTGAGTTGCACTGAAGAAGAGCATTGTTTCATTTTGGCATTACACAGATCATCAGAAGATTTCCACACAATGGAGACTACCAGAACTCAAGTGGTCAACTTGCGTCTTCTTCTGCAAGGGAATATGAGAGGTCCAGGTGCTGAAACATCTCCACATTCCAGGGCCAATGAACTCAATGAGTTGTAGACTGGGTCTCCTTTCTGTTTCCATAGTGTCTTATATCTGTAAGCCCAGACCCAATGCTGATGGCTAGTGCCCATGAAAGAACTCTAGCTGTATGTCACACTTGGAAATACTGGTCTTAAAAACTACATTTGGGTGGATAAAGGGGATACTATGCCTTGAATAAGTTAGAGAAGTCTAGAGATTTATATTGACTTGTTGAGACTCCTACATGGCTCATTCATGAAAAGGAATATTTTCCCTCAGTTAACCAACATTTTGTTTTCCTGAGATAAGCACATGGATCCTCCAGAATGCTTAATATTCCCAGAACTGTGGAGGAACTACTGGGTGTTGACTAAAAGAGAAGTTGCACATAAAAGCAAAGAAACTTCATTCACAGACTGTAGGAAATAATTACCACTTGTCTCCAGGAAGACAGATACTTACAGTCCCAAAGGAGTACTCAATAAAATCTCCAGCAAGCACCTTCTTGTACAGAGAGGCATATATAATATGATCAATGCATTCCTCTCTCTGTGGAATCTCTCTATGATTATATATAAAAATACACAGTTTTACATATAAACTACTAGTGCATATCATATATATCACAACTAAAGAATATATATGTAGCCTATGATTTTTCCTTCAAGAGAGGAATTCAAGCTCCGTAGCAGGGGAAAACAAGTATAGTTTATCAAAGGCAAGCATGACCATGACCCCCGATGGACAAAGCATCTAAAGCTAGAGTGGTAATTACTCCAGCCTAATCTGTGTCCCTTAAAAGTCCTGAGGCAAGGCCTTCAAGAGAAACACACTATTGTCAAGGTCTTATTTTCGAATGAAAAAATAAGACCATGTCCAGAGCTTGCTGGAGGTTGAGGGATGGGTGGATGCTGGAGAGTGGGGCTGGGCACTCTCCAGCTCCTGGCTACTCTACAAGGACTGTGTTGGGGCATGAGCGAGTTGGGGCATGATGTCACTGCTACATGCAACATGAATACCAAAAGTAAAATTAAACTGAAACTGTACAGAAAAAATGTATCTCATCTAGAGAAAGACCAGAACTAGACTCTGGGCTGCTGGGAACCCATTTTACTCACAATAGATCACTACCAGGGTGCAGTTAAAATAGAGTAGGGGCCGTATTCCAAGGCAGCAAAGAGGAAACAAGATAAATCAAAGATATGTCAATGATTAGAAATTAAAGAAAATTCCTCACACACATCAATCTAGACATGACTTGTCCCTTAGGAGACTATCCTTGGCAACTTTTCAGAGGCTGGGAGAGAAAGTGTAAATCATTAGACCAGGTTTGTGACACAGAAAAAGAAAATGAGTAAATGGTAGTCTGAGAGCTTGCTCCTTGGCTAGACATCTGAATTGGACTTGCTTCCTGGATGGATGGAGCGCTACGAAGAGATGGAAAGAAATGCAGAAGTTAAACTATACTACCACCATGGGATCTCCACAAATGGAATGTCCATACTCCATACTTCTCTGATAGAGGGCATGAAACATTGAAGGTTACTGAGTGAAAGGGAATGAAGAAGGTAGGGAGGGATTGGAAAGGGGAAATTGGGTAGGGACAGAAAGACTAAGAAATATGTACAAAGTCAGGGGATTGCCATTAGCTCTGTTCTCATGTAGTTGTATCATTTCACAGTGAACTATCAATTGCTGCACTAACAGGTTTGGATAAATAATAGGGTAGATCAACTGTCCTTTCCAATTTTGAACACCAAGAAGTGCTTGGCCAGTGGCTTAGCACTGCCTTCCCCCTACCCATATGCTATTAACAATGCTAAGTAATTCTCATGAAAGTTTCTTCACAGTCAAACATACCTTCTCCAATTCCTTTAATACTTGACCTTCATGAGAAGGTTTGTATTCAATTATTCATTTTTATTCTAATCCTCCCATACATATTTGCATCTTGCCCTCTAGGCTATGGCCTTTTAATTGGGAATAACAACATTTGGACAATTCTGATTATTATAAAATATTAACCACATAGCCCATGGCCTTGTCACACTTAAAAGTAGCTTGGCAGAGACAATCCTTTTGCAGCAATTGTGTTTTACATGATAGGAGATTATACATTTCACTAGCTTAGCTTGCTATAATGGAAATGAAAAGAATAAAGTTATTGTAAATAATAGTGTGCTTTTCATAACAAGTTGGAGTTAAAATTCACTGTTGTTTGCTTGCTTGGAACAAAGATGGAAAAAAATCTGTATTTGTAAGGACTTTAAATGGAGTACACCATAATGGACTATGGTGTCCTATGAGAGACATTCTAATTTCAGAGTCAATCAGAGATGGTCTCTCATCTTGCCTTTTCCATTCTGTCTTCCAGAGAATCTTCTATTCAGATGCAACGGACATCTTTTCAGTTGAGGCCTGATGATGTCATCTTCTTCCCTGAAATCACTTGGTGGTAGCTTTTGGTCACAGAACTAAAATCCAGCTTCTCAGCATCATCTATGTCTTCTTGTGTGATCTCACTCTGTACCTCTCCCAATGCCACAGACCATAGCAGCCTTCCACCCATCCTCTAAGTTAAGTAGTAGCTTTCCTATAAGAACTCTCCCATCCTCAGATTTTCTTCTCTCTTTTCTCAGCATGTAGGTCTCTATAAATTCATATATTTATAACATGGGTTTGTCTTAACATGACATGAGTTTGTCTCTATTATCTAGATGGAAAGTTTGGAAGGAATCTCATTCATCATTCCATCATTAGCATCAAGAAGAGACCGTGCATGAACATTGCCACTTTACTAAGAAGCCCAATGGATGAGCTTTCTTAGGAAAAACACCCTTATATGGGTCATTGGCCTCAACATTCTCCTACCCATTCACCCGATCTCCACTATGAGACTTTCCTTACGGAGTGCACCGTCTTGTTCTGGTGCTCTCTCTTGTCTACCTCAGGATGGTCTGTTCCCTGTTCCTTCTAATGGAAAGGACTCTGAATGTCCCTGCTGTGTTTCTAAGTTCCTGAGGCACCTGATGAGAAGGAGGAGTGAGTGAGGTCTAGAGCCTGGGGGTTGACTAAATGGTGACCTTTCTTCTTCATCTCCAACCCATTCAGATGCTCTTCCTTATGGGTTGAGAGAATCATAATCCTTCTGGGTATGGTGACAGAGTTTGGGAATGTAAACCATGGATGCTAAAAAGCTGGTTTAAGCTAGTGTGTAGAAATGAGTCTAAAAGGACTTCTACAGAAATGTCTCTAGACCAAGTATTGTCCACTGGTGTTTCCCAAAAGACCAACTTATTAATGTTTGGGCAGTACCATCTTATGTCTTACTGTTTAACATGTCCCCTTCATGCAGCACAGTGACAAAGACCCTTGAGTGGCATACCCCAGGAATGGTGGCCTTTTGACTGGTTTCTGTTTGCAAAAATATATTTTATGAGGGTGATACTTCACAACTATCTTTCATTTCATTTAACCCAAGAGTTTATCCTTCCCCCTGTAAGAAAGATCAGGACACTTAGACCACAGCAACCATATAGGCCTCTGGGGACTTCAGTCTATGAATGCTGGTTGTATGATCATCAGCAACTTCATCTTTTCACTAAATAAGGAAGGGTCATTGTTCTTTATATGGACTTACTATACCCCTGCTAATTATATAGGGTTATAGTGAAGATCTAAGCAAACATCATGAGGGGCTTTTAGAGCCTCAAGTCACCATCAAAGGGAAGGTAGCATTGCATTAATTTTTCTCTGGGGTTCAGAACCATCTCTGCTTGGCTGTGTGATCTAATTGCTGCAAAAGGTTGGGCCTCTGCAAAGCAAAGACCGCTTCACAACATGGTGTCAGAGGAGCTTATAAGCCAGTGTTCCTGAGTCACCGCTGAAGGTCCATGGGAAAGCTAGGGTAGAAGATAACTGAGACAGACAGACTATCCTGGAAGCTTCTGAGCCCAGTGCAGGTCAGCCCATAAAGCAATGTGCTAGGGGATGGTCTTTAGACATGGGTGACTGGTAGCCTTGTTGGGAGCAGTGGTTTTGTTCTGGGGTGATCTAAGTCTGAGCCTACAAGAATTCCAATTGAAAGGCAGTCTATTCCTTTTATTTTGAGACTGGGTTCTAAGACTTGTTTCCCATGTAGGACTGACTATGTATAGTCTTTTTACTTGGGCACCCCCCTATCTACTAGAAATCAAAATATAAAAAACATTCTGTCTCCTAAAGCTGTCCATTTTTTTTCCATGACGTTTAACTTTGTGGGTCAGAGATATCTACTTCTAGAAAAGTGGACCGTAGGTACTAGCTTTCCACCTGGGCAATGACTGTGATTTTTCTCATCTTCTGCTCTAAGCAAAGACCAGTATTTGTTTCATGTTTTTTTAAATGGTTGGGTGAAAAATCTAAACATATTCAAGAGAACACTTTTTAATGTTCCTCTAATAGGAAAGGGATAAGGGAAAGGAATTTGGGGAAGAAATCTGGGGCCGAGGAAGGAGAACAGGAGGGAGGGGAGAAAGAAACACTACTTACGCCGCCTGCAGCCACATTTTTTAATTCTTTTGGGATCTGTGACGTCATCATGACAGGCTTTGCAGTAAAAAAATGCCCTGGAGAAAGAGAATGGAAAAACTGACACATCTCATAATCCACCCAAGTAAAATGAGTACCACGTTTCCCCCAAGGTGGTGCCAAATTAATGAAACATGCCAGCCCTAATTTCCTTTCATCTTTTGAAAAGTTTAGACATTTGCAGACGGAAATGTTTGTTGTAAGACCATTCATTTCAAACCCAGGATTCTGTAATTGGAGTTGGTGCTTCTTTTTATAAACTTTTATTTGCAAAGGAACAGGGAGAAAGGTCTTGCCTGTGTGACACACAAGGCCTGTGACTGTCACTTCTGAGAACATCACTGAGTACTAGTCCTTGGAACACATAGGCAATAGCCCTGAATCTTTGGAGTGTGCTTAAAAACAATTCTGAAATTCCCACAATCTACTCGAATATATATTAAAGGGGCACAAGGATGATGGCCCTGAGTCAAAACTAAATATTACCTTTGTCACTTTGAAAGCACTTTTCCTCATTAGCTAAAGAGAGGACTGAGAGTCACTGGAAAGAGGAGGGACTACAGAAACAAGGTGTCCAGTGGTTCCAGCCAAACTTTCCTGGCATTCTAGTCCATTTCACCCCAAAGCTGACTAGATCCATTCCTGCTCCAAGCACATATAATGAATAAAAGTTTTGTTCTCTCTAAGGAGTAAGACTTGGTTGAATACTGGAATGGGATGAGGAGGGAAATGTGGGTAGAATGAGCTCCAAGAAGGAGCAATCAACAACAATAACAAATTCCTCTAATTTGACTTAAGTGTCACTCTGGGGCTCCAAGGTGAACCGGCTTGCCAAAGCTACTTTTGATGAGAATAACCAAGATGATTTGAGAGCTACTTAACATCAATATCCAGAGGAATAACATGGGACCTGGGTAGGTGGACTGTTCCCTTCCAACTTGAAATGGTGCGAAAGCATGGTCATACAATCGCTTAGCTATGAACTTTCAGCACAGGAGTCACTAAATGACAGGAGATTCTCAACTGTTGGTAAATATATCATATAGGCTTTGTGTTAGATGGTTCTGCCAAACTGTAAGTTAATGCTAAATGCTTAAAGGTATGATGTTCAGTAGGTTATATGCATTTTTAGCCTAAGTTCTTTTCAAATTATGATGGTTTATTGGTATGTAACCCCATCATAAGTAGAGAAGCATCTGTACTAGGGAGGTAATAAAATTTGCTGGAATAACCTTCCAACCCTCTGGATCCATGAACTAACAAAATCCTGGGCTTAATGCCTTTACCACTCCCAATATGAAGTTGAGTGCCAGGAATAAATAGGGTCATTTCTTGATGGAGGCTAAAGAAATAAACACAATTCCTAGGTTCTTTTATGTTTTCCACAGAGTTTACATTTCTACATCAAGTCCAATGTTCTTTCAATTCAAGGGGCTCCTTCACGATTTCTTTACATGTCAGATGTCATCCTCTTTTCAAAAAGAGAAAAAGCAGCTGCTTGCTCTGCATGGCACTGTGGGTAGGAAATCAATAGATGGTGGTCTGCCTTGAAACAAGAAGGACAAGAAGAGGCATCCACCTACTTGGGGCAAGGAAGTTCCCATCCACTTCCTCTGGCCATTTTAGTCCCCCTTAGATGCTCTCATGGATAATAAAAACATGGCAGTAATAACAGCCAACAAACTATAGGCCCAGTACTGCTCTATGAATTTAAAAAGCATTAACATTTGATCTTCACACGACCCCATTTGAAGGAAGCTTGATTATAGATAAGGAAACTGAGGCAGGGAGAGATTAAGTGACCTGTTCAAGGTCACACTGATAGGTGACAGAACCTGGATTCAAGACCAGGAGCCAAAAGTCTTAAATATGCTTCTCTAAAGAGATGCAGATATGAGCTATAATAATATAAGGCTAAGTATAAATATAATATAAAATATAAATATTTAACTGACAAAAGATATATATATATATATATACATATATATATATTTGTGATATACAATGTGATGTTTTGAAATGTGTATATGTGCTAGAATGATGAAACCAAGCAAACCAACACATATTCTTTCATCTATTTATTTTGAATGTGGAGTGAGAACATTTGAAACCTATCCTAAAAGAAAAATTGCTAAAAGAGATTTTCATGGATACAACACACTGTATGGGCCAGGGGATGGCACAGCATGTAACAGCACCCGCTGCCGAACCTGACAGCTTGAGTTTGATCCCTGGGTCCCATGAGGTAGAAGGAGAAAAGCTGTTCTCTCACCTTCCTTCAAGGTGAATAAATTCTTACATTTATTCAACACAAATAAATAAGTAACCTATTTTAAACCAACTATGGTCAGGGAATTTTGCAATGATCTCTTAATTTATTCTCTTGTTTAAATTAATATTTTACATGCCTTGGCCCTCACTCCCCAGATCCTTGCCCCAGCTTCTAGTGACCACCATTCTGCCCTGTACCTCCACAGGCTCGGCTTTCTAAGGCTTCACATGTAGTGAGTTGTGCAGTGTTTGTCCTTCTGTGCCCGATACCTTTCACCTACGCAAATGGGTGCCAGAGTCAGACAGATGTGGTTAATGAGGGCGGTGAGCCAGAGTCAGACAGATGTGGTTAATGAGGGTGGTGAGCCAAGGGCTAAGGTATTTCACGGTCACATGAAGACGTGTGCTCCAGATGAAGGAGGCAGACTCTTTAGACCACAAATTAATGTTTGCTAAGTGACAGTTCTTTGGGAGCTACTCCACCCAGATAGGCCCCCATCACACTCGTCGTTACAACTATGCCTTTGGCCCTGCAAACTCAGTGGTCCTGGGAACAAAACCCCCATTGGTCTCAGTTTAAATCCCTGGCTGTGGATTCCATGGGGCCTCTCCCCAGTCTGGGTGTCTTCCTACTCTCCTGATGCTTGTCTTCTCGCTCCAAAGCACCTACCGTCCCCTTCTTTCCCAGCTCCCACATCCACAGAAAGACCTCCTCCGCATCCTGCGAGGCTGCTCTTAGGGTCTCCTTGTCCTCTGTTGCTCTGTGTAACTGGCTAAAGGCAAGAGTCATAAGGCAACTGGAGGTGGGGAAGGATGATTTGCTCTCTGGCGGGTCGTGGGATGACAAGAGAAACATTTCCCTACTGGAGGGCAAAGCCCCCACTGAGCAGTCTTCGCCCCTGTGCCAGGCCTCTCCTCCTCCAAGCTTCCACCTTCTTCCCCGGGGGTCCCTGCAGTTTCAGGCTGAAAGCGGCCCTCACCTGTAGCTGCCTATAGGAGATTTTGCCACCTTTCACTAATTTTAACCATCTTACTGTCCACCCATTTGTATGAAACCCCCTCTATAAAATTTAGCTTTTATTTCCCACTTAAGTGGATCATTTGTTCCCTGCCAGGAACCCCTATTAATGTGGTACCATAGTTATATCTTCAGCTCTCTTTTTCCCAGAACTCTAGACTCTTGGATCTACCTGCCTTTATGATGACTTCATGGTATATTTAGGACCAATCTTCCATTAACCATGGCCCAGATAGAATTCCCCAGTTCCTACCACCCCCATCTTCCTCTAGTTCTGCTCATCTCAGAAGAGATCAGCATCTTCGTTGCTCTCACTGCTCACTGCTCCAGGCCTAGGCCTTGATTCCTCTGCCCCTCTCACTTCTATGCAGCTCATGAGTGCACACTACAGGTTCCCCAGAGTTGTCCAAACGCGAGCCACATATCTCCTGAACAAGCTTCTGGCTTCTCCCTACACTATTTGACAGTCTCTGGATGCCATGTGTCCTCTCCTGATGCATCACAGGCAAGGAGACTGATCTTTGAGAATATAGTTCTGATTACAACTCGCCTGTACTCAAAGCATCAACTGTTTCAATCCATAACAAAACCATTCTCTTTGTAAGTGTCTGAAGAACCGGATGAACCCTTTGCTCTGCCCCTCTCCTCCATCCTCTGGTACTCTCCTGGCCATTCTGTTTTTCACTGTCTAAACACGGTGTGTTAAACACAATGAACTTCATTATCTCCCTTTCCCATCTGATGAAAGACTCCTTGTCTTCGTTTCTGTTTCTGTTTGGATGTCACCTCCTTGGAAGATCAGCTCTTACTGACACCAATTGAAATGCCTCCTTCTTTTATTTTGAAAATTTTAAGAACCTGAAATTCTCTGTTCTACAGGATGTGACCTCAGGACAGCAGATTGGCTATCTGGAGCCTCCCAGATATTAATTAATATGCAGATATTTGATGAAAGGGTGAATGAATGAATTTGAGAATGTTTCCCAATTTGGGGAATTCCATGTTTTGAGAAAAAGCAAGAACTAGAGATTTTAATAAAAAAGCAGACAACATATTTTAACTTGGCAACTAATTTATTATTTTTAATTATGACTCAAAGTATGTATCTGCTAAAGAAAGTGAAAGAGTCCCTGGACTGTGCTCCAGAATTGTTTAAAAGGGGAAATATTTAGGGGAATCAAAAAATATGTTCAAGCACCTATCTCACAGTAACTTCTTAATGAGAGTAGATGAGTTCACTCCTCTTTGTCTAAGCCCGGTACCTCAAGTTTCTACAGCACAGAACCCACTAACTTCTCTTATTGCATGTTGTTTTGCTTTGTTTGTTTGTTTTGTTTTGTTTTGCAGCCACAGCAGAGGGTGAAAACCCAAAAAGAGATCATCATAATCTACTTTTCCAGTTTTTACAAAACTTGTTTAGTTTCATTCAAATTTGCAATGTCCTCTCTGTAGTTTTCTGCATTCTTCATCTGTCTGAAACCCCCTAACTGACAGCTTTTCTCTGACACTTCACATACTGTGGAAAATTACAGGCTGGAGTTGTAACTAGTGGTGTCAGCATGTATTTGTGAATACCATAAAGAATGGAAACGAGACATATTACATTCCCTAATACAGGAGGTAATTTGTTTCCTGGACTGCCTGGTATCTGTGACATTCATTAGTGAGAGATGCAGCAGGAAATAGAATTACACAAATAGGAGCTCAGGCTGAATTTGCTATCTGGGAGGTGTGCATGATGTACAGTGGCGGTGCTTCCTCCTCCATGCTTAGAGCTGAGGTTCTGATTTAAGCTTCTGTGTCACACATCTAAGGATGCCCTGGAGAACTCCTGTCTCAACACATTCTACCCATGAACTGGATAGAGAGGTATTTTTCTCATGTGGTTTAGGACTGTCAATCATTCTCCAATTTGCAGAAATAAACTTATTGGAAGCATCAGTTAAAAAACAAGAACAAAAACTCAACTCCAAATATTCTTTTCCCTGGAAACTTTTTAAACTAGTCTAAAAACTTGTTTAAAGTCCCACTTGCTAGAGTTGAATGGGTAGAAAGAAAATAATAAGCCTGGATTTGTCAAAAACCATTGTTCTATATTATCATATCTAGATTTTTGCAAATACACCCTGTGACTTTGCTCAAGTCAGTCAACCAAGCCATGCTTCAGTTCCCTCCTACACAAATTAGGAACTGTAAGGCTACAGGTGACTGGGTGAGGCCATAAACACAAAGAAACCCATTAGTACCCAGGACAGTGGTAGTGCTCAGTAGGCTTTTATAAGGGGCATTGGCTTTTACAGATAAAAAAGCCAAAGTTATAAGTACTTTATAAGACTGACTTATATTTCCAGGGTTATTTTTGAGGGTTAGCATAAAGAATAAAGCACACCTACCACAGCCCGGCTCTGAGTAGGGACTCATTAGAATACAATAGGCATCCACAGAGAAGTGAAGACCCTCATAGTCAGTATTGACTTAAAATACGTAACACAGTTGTTCAGCTGAGTAACCTTTCTGGCTTACTTTTATTGTATTTCTTGAAAGTCAAAGTTTTGAAGCTGGTGGGATAGAATCAAATATAAATCGTACTCTATACTGATATGCAAAGCCCTATGATTCTCTGTTACTTAAACAGGAATAAAGACACTAATAAAAATTTCATTAAATGTTGAGCCTGGTGCAAGCTTCATACTAGACCCAAGGAGGCTTCACAATTGAACTTGACAATTTTACCCAGTGCTTTGAAAGTTGTGAATACGAATACAGGCAGTTTAATGTTCTGTCTAAACTTAATCCAAACTGTCTGAAATTCGCCTTGGCACTTACAGCAGAAGAATCTGTAATATACAAGGACATTTACCCAGACAGTATTAGGAAAATGATCTCAGACAGGGGCCAGAAGTCCTGTGAATCTCCTTCGGAACAGGCAAGAATCAGAATGACTTGAAGTCACTTCTGCTTTCTGGGCCTGTTTCTTTCCTTGTAAGACGAGGGAGCAAATAACTAGGTTCCCTGATCCAAGATGATTTTAGTATTCTGACTTGAAGACAGGGACTGACTGTGGGGAAAGATGCCCAAGGAAGCAACACACTAGTTCCGGAGTTAGAGTCTTGGACAGAGAACATGAAGATCTTGGTAGGTCGAGGTGCCTGCGGCTGGACCAGAAAGGAAGGCAGACACAAACACACCCTTACCTTTTAACCTCCTTGGCGTCACTCGCGATGAAGAATCCTAAAGTGCCTTCTTGGATCTTAAGGTGGTTCCCAGGGTTAATTAATATTCTGCTCAGTGAACAGAAACAAACAAAGAAGACACAAGTATGAGCCCATGTTCAGGATAAGACCTTAATGGCAACATCACCCTGTTGTTTTGATAGGGGCCCCACTAGTCTAATACTTGTCCCAAAGAGGTTTCCTTAGAGCCTGCCATCTGCTGGCCCATGCGTGCAGTTCAATCATGCCATCATTTAGCTTCAGGTGGTACACTCAAAGGCAGGGAAATCAAAGATCCAGGTCTTAGGGTCTGGTTTGTTTAACAGCGTGGCTTAGCTGCTCCTAGAGGCACCTGGCTGGAAGCAGGGTTCCCATTTTGAAACTGATTTTGATGGTCAAAGTTAAAACATAGCCTAATGAAGCTCTATGCAACACCCACTCTCCCTTAGTGATACAGCATTAATGGGACCCCTATGTGTACGCAGAAACATACATATATACATACCACATATGTCCATGGAGAATGGTACAAGATGCCTATATTATATGTAATGCAGACCGAAATTGACCATATTTAGAACTTTGTTAAGGACATGGAATGAAAAACCTGATCTACACAGTGACAAATGAAACTATAATCTGTCAAATACGCCCAATTATTCCAGTCTGCTTTTTATATGAATGGATGAGTTCTGTGAATAAGATGTAAAAATAGCACGTCTTCATTGGGACACTCTGCACTTTAAAGACGAATGAAAAGTATCTCTGAAAACAAAAAGCAACTGCCTTGTTTTGCTGGGATATACAAATTTAAATATGCACGGCCCTACTCCCGAGTGCTAGAAACAGATTAGGTGACCAAGTTCTGTTTGGGATGGTAGTAGAGATAGATAAATGGATCCTAATCTAATAAATGGGAGAAACAAACAAGTTTCTGCAGATCAAAAACTGAATACCAGGCTGTCCTGTGCAGAAATAGTGATGAGGCTTTCAGTTTACAGGTGTAGATTTAGCAACTTGGAATGAAGCAAAAGGCAATGGCAATATTATTTGATCTGAAAAGCTAGTGATTAACATAAGAGACATTTGGGTTTGGGCTAAAGGAAGCCCCCAGATGCCCCCCAAAATGGGGGAGGCTAGAAATTAGCAAGTGATCTTTATCTAGAGGTAAGACCATCTTGGAAAAGACAGTGTTGTCAAAGGAGTCCTCTATCTGCAGTCAAACAGGGAGGGCCCAGGTGAACTTCTGCTTTGTTGGGAGAACTCTGATCAGATCATCTCTGCTGAGATTACTGTCCGCAGCTGCAAGAGCATCCCGCACTACCCATAACGAGACCTGAGAGCAGGGAGAGGGGCTTTGCCACTGCTGCTGTTAATGCTAAATAACAGCAGAGAGTAAAAAGGCGACTGCGCAGCCCAGAACCACCAGCAGCAACGAGGCTCCTTCCACATCAGCGACCAGCAGTTCACACTAATGGGCCAGCAGTCTGCACTAACGACACACTGCAAAAGGCAAGGGTTTCATAAAGAGACCTTATAATTACCCCTCTGCGATTCCCACACTCATGTCACAAGCCCTCTGATTTAGCACAATCATGAGGCGGAGGGGGGCAGAAATCATGCAGATTTTTACAGCTAAATAAGGTAAAAATTTGTGTGTTTGTGCTCATCAAGGTCCATGTGAAACTATACAGTTTATACAGATTTCCTTTCCAAAATCAATGAAGCAAGGCATTTTAGGGTCACAGGGTTCTAGACTTTGTACATGTATTGTCTCATTTTCCTGAAAGGCAGTTCCTATGTGACTGACTCTGCAATCAGAAATTGGGTCCATATTCTAGCACTGATGTGGTAATGTTGGATAAGTGCCTACATCTCCCATAAACTCAATACTTTTCCCTATGAGAGGTATGTTAACACTAGCAATAGCCTTTTGTCAAAGAATAAAGTAAGACAATATCTAAAGGACTTGACACTTTTGTTGATGATTATTGTTATCATTTCATTCTTGCAAAACATCCAAGTATATTATATCTCTTCAGTAGTCCCCGGCTCTATGCACCAGAGCACTGTACTTCTTATCAAAATAATCCTCTGAGATGAAGTTATAGGATTAAAACAAAACTATACATGACAGAATGTTGATGCATGAGTTTATCTATTAAAAAATCCCCACATGCTTCTGGAGCCTTCAAAGTATATTCTTAAAAGTTTAGGAAATCTCCATTTTATAAGAATTCATATTAAGAATGAAAGAAGGGCTCCTAAGTCAAGAGGGTGGGTGGAGTCCCATCATGATCTGAACAGTATAATATGAAATGTAAAATTTGACACACACTGTCTTGGTGACATGTATGCCCCAAGACCTGTGTTTCCTTCCCTCATGCTTTGTGCTATGTTATCTGTCTCTCAGCAATTCAGCCCATTATGTCATTGTGAAATGTGATGATCTCCAGGTTCCCATCCAGAGAGACTTCCTTTCATTTCCTCCTGTCTTTATCTGCACTCAACAAGAATTGGCCTGCAGTGAAATTAGGGATTGGCAGTCTAGAGAATGAAGGTCAAGGTAATTTACTGAAGACTTCAAGCATCTTTTAATCAAGTTGGTGTGCGGAAGAGGAGAGGCTTGGTGCTGGTGGAGGTCACCCTGGTGTTTCCTAGCAATCAATGTTAGTAAAGTACGTAGGTGCAGGCATCATCCCTAACCATTGGGCCCTGACTTTGGAGGCAGCTAAGCCTTACCCTCCTAATCTATAAAGTGTAGTATATAATCCCTGACTGACAATGTTCCTAAGAGAATAAAGGCATGTAGACTATGCCATGCGTCCTTAGTATAAGCAAGGTGACTAAAAACGTCAGAGCAAACAAGCTGTCATAACTCTACTGGCCTGCTCTCCATTTTGTCTTCAGTGCTAATTGAACATTTGTGTGGGTGTGGTCTCTCTGCAACATCCAGAAATGGGCTAGGACAGATTCACTTAGGGCTACACATAGTCACTCCCATCCCTTGAGTCTTGTAGAGATGTGCAAGAGACAGACAGCATCTCATTGTCCCCAGAGCTCTTGGGAACCTAGAATGTCCTCATGTGCCCTGTGGACAGGGTGAGAAGATTAAAATTGCATCCATATGACATATGAGCAGGCAAAAAGGTTAGGCTAATACAGGTTTGGGATGGGGTGAAAGATTAAAAAGATTGAGCCCAGTCAAGGAAAACAATGAAACACGGAAGCCATAAGCACAAGGTTCTCTGTGCCATATAGATAGTACAGATTGAGTTCTAAGGGTGGTGAAGAAGAGGCTTCTGACTCCCGGGAACCACAACATACAAAGTTTCCTGTGTGACCTATGAGTTTCAAAGACTCTTTGGAAAAATACATTCCTGATTTTAGTATTTCAGATGTCATAACTGTTATCTACATTTCAAAGCTAGAACATTTAAATAAACTGCCAGCCTTCCTCTTCTTGGAAATGTAAAAAGATAAGAATTGTAAGCAGGAGTAACTTTTCCCTCTCCCTACAAAATGCCTTCTAGACTGAAAATTTGCTATTGACTTACAGGGAATATGTTAATTTTCCCCCAAACATCTCTGACTCTGATCTTTTTAGGAGATTATTCAATGTCAAGTTTGTTTTGTTCTTATGGCTGCCAAAAGTCCTCCTTCCCCAGCACCACTTTTAATCAGTTCTCTGGCTCCAATTTTGCCTAAGCCATAAGCTTATCAGAGATAAAACTCAAAAATGTGTCATGTAGAGAGTCAAGGAAATCTCCAAGAGAAGCCTTCTATCGAGAGAGGTCTCTCTCGATGTATATCCATTAGCAGAATTCCAACAAGGACATATTGGCAGGAGGAGACATTTCCTCATTTTGAGGAAGATATAAATTATCCTCTCTTTACCATGACCTTGCTGATTTTAATTGAAAACGCCTAGTGACAGCTGGCAGCACAGGCGTTGTGTGGTCCCATCTCCAAGGATTCTTGTTCTTTGCTTTTCCTAGTTCTGCAGTGAGGCTTATTCTTTGTCTGATTACCCTCCATAAGAGCAAACACACACTCTGGGTAAGGTACCACTGCTGATTAGAAGACTGAGAACAGGATCCCTCTATTTACTTCTAAGTTTTTCTTAGTAGAGTTTAGAGTCTTATATGCTATAGGCACTTTCTAGCTCTATAGAATGGAAAGCTTATGTCATAGTTCCTTGGCTTCAGTTCTCAAAGTTTCTCTATTTCTCTCCAGTAAATGAAAGCAGCAACTACTGCAATTCTCATCAATTAGTCTGATCAAAGGAGTGACCACAAGTCTTCTTGTAGATTGGCCACCAAGCTAATGAGTTCCCAGAGGCATTAAATACAAATATGCAAATATGTATACAGTTACTTAGGCAACTGGAGCAATTGGTCTCAATACTGAAAGCACAACTCAGTTAGAAATGAAATCCAAGTTTCTGATTGCAGAACACATCCACACGGAATGGGCTCTATCCAATAGGGCATGCTACACTGAATTCGGTTTCATTGACCATCTTATACTGGAACTTGGGGAAGGTGGAAAAAATCAGGACTAGGTGGGGAGAAATATTCTTTTTATTCTTTCTAATATTTAAGGTGCAACAGCTGCAGAATATGTAATAATCCTTCCTTCCATCCTACTAAACCTTACAGTTGTTTGAGGTGATGGCCAAGGATTGACAATTCAACAGAAACAGGTTTCTTAAAGGAGACTTTCATCTACTGTGGACAAATAGAATGGATGTATGTACACACATGTGTGCATGCCTCTCTCTCTCTCTCTCTCTCTCTCTCTCTCTCTCTCTCTCTGTGTGTGTGTGTGTGTGTGTGTATGTGTGAAAGAGAGAGAGATGTGTGTTTATTCCCACCCACCCTCCTAGAGGCATCATGTACCATTCCCCAAGCAATTGAGAAAATACCACAACTTCCATGGGGGTACAGTTTATACTTGAAAACACTATGATCATAGTTGTGTCTAGCAAGCTAATGGGACTTCATTAAACAGAGTAAGCAAGTCAGAACCATAGAGGAGTTCAGTCCATGCTATGCCCAGATGACTCACACCACTGGAAAGAGGTCTCTCTGATCACTCTAGTTCATATACAATTGCTATCAGCAGGAACTTGATTTGAACAATTTGTGTCCCCTCTCGGGAAGTTCAACTGCACTGCAGTTTGTGTTGTGTTGTGACATAACTTAGCAAAAAAAATCCCAAATCTCAAACCTCATCACTTCTCTGGAGCTTTCCATTTCTTCTGGGCTTTACAATAAGTGCTGTTGGAGTCCCACACAACTAGACACATGCATTTACATTAGAATACGTGTAGAAGACACAACTGTGTATTCCATGCTTCAATATGCATAGGCCTAGTTCACTTACATACAGAGATACCATAATCAAGGTTGCTCCCAGTTGGCCAGACTCAAAAGACCACCACTGTGGTCCACAACAATATTGGCAAAATCTGTTTTAGCCTGAGTCCACATCGGTAATCTTAAGAAAAATTTCAGTGTATTTTTTATATTATAAAAAGACTAGCTACTTCATGCGAGAGGATAGAGAGAGCCGGCTTAGGAAAGATAACACTGGATATGTGGTTCTGGGAGCAAGCCATACTCTCTGGTACACTTTAAGACAAGTCATGCCTACATCACAACATGCCTTCATCACAAAGTAAAAGGACCCAAGGCCAAAAGCCAACAGCAGAGGTGCAACCACTGTGGACCTTTGAAGATGCATAGTGTTGCAATAACTTCTCGCAGTTGGATCATATCAATAATACCAAACTGACCGGAAGCCACCTCTATTTATTCACATCTACTCAAAATAAATTCACAGATTTGACATTGGAAAGAGTCCCAGACAACACAAACACACAAGTATAAACACAAACACATGACAGTGACTACAATTGTATAGAAAACATGAATTGTAATAGTCTCTTTTCAACAGTACTATCTTAGAGAATGCATTATTGAAAAGCTATCCTGAAAATGTAACAACAACAAAACAATCACCCCAAATCCAAATAGTTAAAAAATGCAATTGATGGTAATTTAGTCATGCTCCATGCAACACAAAACAGCGGCAAAACAGGATGACGTGAGAAGGTGAAAGCTGAGACACTCCCCATTTAGAAATGTGCCCAAGCATACAAGGGGAAAAAGAAAACCATGAGTTTGTCCTAACAAACAGTGCTTATTGTAGAACACAAATGTGACAGCTTGGCAGTGCATCTTAAGTCTCTACAGAGCACTGCACAAAAAATTAGGTAGTCAAAATGAAGTCAACCCAAACAGATAGGAGAAAAGGGAGAGGTGCAAGGGCTTGGTCTCTGTTTTGTGGATAAAGGACAGAAACTCTGATCTACAAAGTGGAAACTCGACAGAGGGGCAAGGAGGTCACTGGGAATGTGGATGTGGGATGAAGACAAAGTGGTGCCCACCTCTGATGGACACCATGACAACATCAGGACAATACAGAAACAGACACGAAGGGCTGGAGAGAAATGCTCTCCTTTTCAACTTCAACATGGTTTGTTCCCATCGTTAGTGTTATGATTGAAGGCAGGATTATGCCTTCCCATTTTACTTTATTTATTTATTTGTTTACTTTAGTTTTCCTGCAAAGAAGTTAGTGCATCAACCAAAAGAATTAACAAATCAAACAAGTAGAGAAGCAGGCTACTTTATGTATTCTAGTTGGAGATAGGTGATATATATATATTATATATATAATATATATATGTATATGAATAGATACACTATATATATACTAGACAAGGGAATGATATATATATACATATATATATACATATATATATATATATATATATATATTCTCTCTCTTCTTGAGTTCTTGGCAAATGGTTAGTCCTGTGGTTAGGAGTGAAGACAGAGGGTGGAGGTTGGAAGGAAAGTTAACGAAGAATGCATACCGCTTTCGGCTTCTGCAAAAACGACAAGAAAAGAATTTCAAATCAAACAATTTGATAATAAATTGACTGACACTGGGAGGAAGGAAGGAATAAAACCTTTGTTTCAAATCATTTGAAGGATGCGTGTGAAAACAAGGTTTATCAGCAAAGCATGAGAACAGTATCATGGGTGGACCCAACAGCAGAGAACATTCTCAAACACAGGTCAGAGGTGGGAAGGTGGGAAGGAGAAGAGGCTTCTCTAGATTTCCATACCTGCTCCATGGCAGTAGTGAGAGGATAAGGATTAGATCTCCCACAAGGATATTTTTTTAAAAAGTGTGGTTTTGGACTTGAAAGTTTTGTTGGGTACTTCCTGTGTTTTCTTGGGGGTATGATCCACATTCCCTCCAGAACAACTTTTCCCACAAGTACTCATGTGCTTCCACACTGAGACCAAGCCACACTGAGGATTAATGCTGGCAACTGCACACAGAAAGCCAATACAAAGCCAGACAAGGTCCTTTTATTGCCTTTTCTGGGGGCACTGGGAGGAGAAACCAAATTCACAACCTGTATCTCTAGACATGGCTTTGTTGAAAACAGCTCAGGGTTATGAATCAGTGAGGGGACCTATCAGAGAGAAGACTGCATCTTCATGGGACTGGAGCCTGTTCCCTCAGAATGGTGCCTGGGCTCTAGTGGCACCCTCTCTTTCTGTGTGGTCAAAGGGTGATTAGTGGGAGCCAGGTGGCTGATGCTCATGGCCCGATGCAGTCCTCTCTGGCCATGAGATCACACCAGAAGGGTCAGAAAACACTCTTCCGTACTACCTACAGGTGACACCTTCCTTTCTTTCTTTTATTTACATTTTGAGAGAGATGGACAAAAGTGGTAAAGAGAGAACACTCAGACCCACAAATGTGCTGACTTGGCATCACAAAGATCACCATTCACAACCCCTACCCCACACCCCCTACAGGAAAAACAAAACAGGGACTCATAGTCCCTCCTCCACACACATGGCTCCAAGTAAGGCTAGAGCAAACATTAATCCTAGAAAAATCTACTTTAACTATTGAAAGACAAATGGCCAGGGCTTTCTTGGGCTCAAATGATACTTTTAATAGTCTTCCCTTTGCCAACATGGAAAAGAAAAAATTATCCTTCCACACATAGTTTTTAAATCGCTACCACTGTATTCTAAAAATGGCCACCAAATCTGCCATTTTCTCTTCTGTTGTCTGGTTGGTTTGGATTTTCAAAGTAACTCAGCATTAGATCAGATTAGCTGTGGACCATCTGATCTGTCAGTTAAGGGGAGGGACAACAGAAGATCTGCTTGTTTGTGACCCAGTGTTCATTTTTCCTTACCACAGGCATGTACTTAAAAATAGGCATTTGTGCCTGTGTGTGTGGGGGGGGTTGCTTATGAAGATGATGAAAACTCTTTGAATGACACTAGTAGAACTTTGCAGGAGGTGCCTGCATTCTGTTCAGCTATGTGTTGGGGCGGGCGCCCCCTGCCCTTGTGAACATGTGTGAGCAAAGGTATCACTAGAGCAGGGACAGCATCTGGATACATCATTTCAGAGAACAGAAGCCAGGCTAGTTTTTAAACCAGCCATCTTTCTTCTAAAACTATGACGAAGAATTGAGGATCAAAGATCATCTATGTTATCAATAAGGCACATAGGAGCCCCCCCAGATTCCTGTTCATACAATGTTGCCATCAACCAGCAATAAGGTCATGTATCGACTAGGGTGTTATCTATTTCAACCAGACCCCAGCCCTCATTGGTCTGATTTGTACATCATTAAGTGAAAAATAAATAAATAATGAGAGCTCCTGCCTCAGAGCTCTTCTCTCCTGGTTAATTTACATGAAGCCGATATTCTGCCACCTGGATATTGGCTGCAGTGGGAGAAACACATATGGTACACAATAGGCTGCTTGAAAACTGGCTACTGAGAGAGCCGGCACCTCCCATCACCGCTCTACCACGGGCTGTTGCAAAGAAGGCCTGAGACCAGCTGCTCTTTGCTTACAGCAGTAAAAGGAACTTCAAAGAGGGTCTGTTCCTGCTTTCTTGTGCAGAGGCTATAGCATAGTGGGGAGCTATTGGGAATTGCTCTCTCTTGTCCTCGAGGGAAACCTCTGGGTGCCCAGTGGGGTATAGCATGACAGGTTGGTCTGGTTAGAACCTTCAGTGTCTTGAAATGTACTGCAGGGTTTGTGTGTGTGAGGGGGGGGGTGCTGCATTGGGTTCCAAGCAAATAAATTACAAAGCAAGAAAGAGAAAGTAAACAGAGCCTTCCCAGGATGTCCACTTTCAACACGAATGTCAACTTACCGGCTCTCCCGGTTGGCAGACTTGTACTCAATGGCTATCATCAGGAGTTTGAGCTTCACAAAGCACAGCCTGCAATGAGACAGAGAGGCTTCCCAGTCAATGCTTGTGGATAGCAGCATCTCATAACGAACACCTTATGGAACTTGCTGTCCCCTAATGCAGTCCTTATCCAGGGATTATACAGGGGACCCTCGGTCTATCCCTGGGTGCCAAGGGCAGGGCCAGTAAAGTGACACCAACCCATCTTCCCCATTACAGCTGATTTCCCATACATGATAAGGTACTAGATATTCAAAGTGCAAATCGGGCTCTGGTCTGGTTGTCTAGACACAGACCCCAAGCAGAGATTTGTGCCTGGGGATTTACAGCAGCCAGATTCATTAGTTACTCAACCGGGTAGTAAAATGTTAACTGCAGGGGGAGGGAGAGACCTGGAGCAGTGCGACCTGTTATTTGGATTCTGGTCTGGTCTTTTGTACAAATGGCTCATATTGTTGTTCAGAGCAGCCCCCATGTGCTTGGAATGATGGTAATAATACTTAGCCTCCATCTAAGTGCCCAGCACATGACTCCAGCCTTGTCACTCCTGGCTCCATCCAAGCTGTCTCAGCTCCTCTGCCCAGGGCTCTGGGCTGCAGACCAGACTGTTCTCTGTTGGCTTGCTCCTGCCTCCCCACCTTCATTCTTGTACCCCTATGTCCCCCAATATCTTCTCTTCTCTTCTAAGCCATCTTCCCAGGCCATGGCCAGTCTAATGGCCAGCGCCAAGCAATATTGCAGCTGTTGCTCTCTTCAAAGATTTTATTTTCCAAACCTCTCCAGCCCCTTGCCCGCACACATCATTTAGCTCCCACCTAAGTTCACACTGACTGTGGATGCTTCTCAAAGTTTTGTGTGTCTCAACATTCTCTCCTTGGCCACAGAAATGTCTTTAAGATGTTTAGAATCTGCCCCCCCACAGTGTGCAGTGAATGGTGCCACTAACACAGAGGGCCTCTGTGAAGAAATGAGTCCTACTCACTGTGTCTCAGCCCCAAGAAAATAAAAAGAGGTGTCATAACACACTCGTGCATAAAGAGATTCAAGATAGTGCTAGTCATGTGGTGTAGAAAACTCAAAGGCAAAGGTTAAATGAAGAATGGTGCAGTGGGGTGTAAGGTTGCCAAATCCAGAAATGAATTCTGAAAACTGTTTTAAGATGTGAGCATCACAAAGAATAAGATATAACCCTGGAAATAATACAGTATAATTTAGATTAAGATACACATTGAGACAGACTTTAGAGATCCCCCCAAGGAGGGTCTCACCCTCCCTGGGGAATGATGTGGGGATTGGGTGGGGGACTGGGGGACTGGTAGAGGGACAAGGGAGGAGGGGTGGAGAGGGAGCAGGGACTGACATGTGAAACATTCACGTTTCTAATTTAAATAAAAACATATATTGAGAAAAAGATGCCCATTGACTATTTAAAGAGATAAGCGCTCATGTGAAGGAAAAACTGAACCATATATATTATGTGTCCCATGTTTCTACAATAAGCATTATCATGTAATTTTAGGTGACATTAAATAATGAAACATTATTCAAGGGATAATGAAAAATGAACCCTGGTCATTTAGTTTCAGCGTTGTAAAGGGGATGAGGTACGAGGTCAAAGGATAAGGCTTGATGACTCTACTTATTTCTCACTTATATTTCTTCGTGGGAGATACCGTCCTTCTGTTGATATCTCTGTTTGACTGGTGGTAAAAACTAAGACCCAGAACACCCACACAACCCATCCAGTGGTCAAGATTAGGCCTCCGACTGACCTGGAGGGACATACATTTTCCCCTCCAGTGGAGTGTCTTTTTCATTGGGAAAGAACAATTATATGCCAATATACAAGTGAATCAATAATAAATTTCTAGACCTTGACAAATCCTATGTAGAAATAAAACAACTTGTGAGGATAAAATGTAACTGGAAAATGGGTGTGTCAATTTGTAATGGCCCAAGAGGACAACTCTAAAGATGCAGAGAACACGGGAGACAAGGAGATGGGGATGAGAGGGTACGGAGGAGGGGTAGAAATGTCAAGAACAAAAGTCCTGAGTCAGGTAAAAGGTCTAAGTGTTTGAGAAGCAGACACAGAGCCTGTGAAGCTGCCACTGAAAGAACAAGTCAAGACAAGCCATGCGTGGGTTAGAAAGCAAGGGGAGGAAAGTTCGTGTGGGCTCTGCTTGCCCCAACAAGGCACATGCTGCTTATTCTAAGTGAATGAGAGATATGATTTGACTTTGTGTGTGGAGACACATGTGCGAGGGGGGACATGTGCACATGGTGGAAGCCAGGGGTCAGACGTGAGTATTGTTCCTTGGGCATTGTTTTTTGAGACAGGTCTGTCACTGGGTGATGGAGATCACCAATTCTGCCAAACTGTCTATCTGGTGAGCTTCAGGGATCTTCCTGTTCCATATTTCCAGGCACTGGGATTACAAATGCATATGACCATACCTGCCTGTTTTCATGGATTCTGGGGACTGAACTCAAGTCCTCGTGCTTGCATAGTAGGCATGCTACCAACCGAAAAATCTCCTTAGTCCCTGTAGTTGGTTTTAAACGACTTAATAAGATACGCAAGGTATAGAAATGTGTGGCTTGCCAGAAAGGTGCTGGTGCATGGTGAGAGCCTCACATTCTCTTTGGAGAATAAGACCAGTTGCTTTTTCTTGCATGAGAGGTCCTGGCTCTTTGGTATTACCTTCCAGACAGTCAGATTTCAGAAGAATGCTTCTATACAAGTCTGGGCTCTCTCTGTGACTGGAAGGCTTTCTGTTTCCTGCCAGCAGTCTAATGACCTGCACTTTGAGATGGTTGTATAGATCAATTTTGAAACATCAACACAAGTATCACCAACTCTAGCAGGGACAATGTTCTTAATTTATGTACCATTGCATGCAATTAACATATGCAATTATAGCTTGTGTTGCTGTTATTTCTAGAGTTAACCTTTTTTAAAAAATCATATAAAATATATTGTTTGCTGAAGTTTAGAACACACCATTGAACACAAATAGTAGCCAAAAAAAATCCCTTATCTCAGCAAGGATCATACAAAATTAATTTGTTGGTATCCTGTGGACAACTATCCTTCTTATTTATGACTCTGGTAGTTTGTGGGATCAAAGATCTTAATTGCTTGTATGGGTTTAACACTACTGATTGGAAGACACGAGTGGTTCCAAGTAAGTGAGCTCTTAATTGCCTCACGACATCTTGGCTACGATTGAATGTAGTAAGGGCAAATGTGTTCATTCTTAAGTGCTTCAGTGCCATTTACCAGCTAGATATAAGAAGCAAGGTTCCTCCTCATGCAGGAAGGTCAATCCAATCCAAGCCAAGCCATCCTGTGTACTGAGTTACAGATAGTTATGAACTAGAATTGAGTCCAGGTCTTCTAGAAGACCAGTCATCTCTCCAGTCCCTCATACCCTTTTTATATAGACAATAAGCTGAAGTTCATGGAAGGCAAATTCACAAACTCAAGGTCAAATGGCTTTTGCATTAAAAAAAAAAAGTAAGTAGAGATTTAGTCACCATTTAATGTGTGGTGCTGTTGCTCTTCTGTGAACAGAGAAAACCCAGTGAAGTCCAACATACTGTTCCTTCAAAAACTGGAACTAGACACCAACATATAATTTCATATTTTAACAAAATCTGTTTTCAGCTTTCCTTGGCAAATAAAATATGGTCAGACTGCAGTCATCCTTCATATAGCTAAAAGGGACACCTGGAGGGGCACACCTACCCCAATGTCCCATGGTGCCCACCTCTTCCTACTGCTCAGTCGTCCCCACCTTCATCTTTATTGCTATCTGGCAACCTCTTTACATGCATCTCCATTTTAAACGTTGATCAAACAGGTGTCTTTTCAGTATTTGCAAATCACACTGACACATAAGCCATTAATTAACCCGGAAACAGAAGTATGGCTCTCTGAGTGTTCAAATCACCTTGTTTTGTTGGATTCTGCTACAGAGAACACTAGCATCCTTTGGCTTAAGGATGTAACAGAGGTGTTGAGTCTAACGGGAGGTCCGGGGTGGTGGCAGCGAGAAAGCCCACATAAGCAAAATGGGGAGCTAATATGGTAATCGCATTCTTAGCCCACTGCATGTGTTAAGCTTCTCTAGTGTATAAGGCACATCCTTTGCCTCCTTGGCATTCTGGGAATATAAAGAACCAGCTTTTGATGAAGGCTGCATAAGCAAACTGGATGAGGAGACAGGAGGTTCACAGGACTGGCTAGAACAATGGAGGAAATATGGCATAGACAGCTAGCAGAGCCTGGGATGTGAGTGCAGAACCCTGAAATAAGATGCTCTTCATCTTGCTTGTTAGATGCCAACAGCCTGGGGAAGATGCAAATGGAAATAATAACAGATCATAATCGTGATAAGCACTGGGAATCTAAGGTTTGCTTTCCAACTATTAGGCTAAGATGAGAATCTAATGTGAAGATACAGAGAGTCATTTATTCTTGGCCTCTTCTACCGCCTATGTTACAGGAGGGCACATGCCTAAGAATATGTCTGCAGACAATCCAGCGTTGATGTCCTTTGGTTGAATACTAACTTGAATAATTTTCTTTTAGTAAAGCAGAATGGGCATTGCATTCAAATGGCTTTTGCACTAAAAAAAATACTAAGTAGAGATGAAATCTCCACGTAATGTGTAGTGCTACTTCTCATATGAACAGAGAGAATTTAGAAAAGCCCAACATGAAGTTGATCCATACTGTTTGGCCAACATTGTATTCCTTCAAAAAAATCTGTTTTTCAGCGTTCCTTAGCAAATCACATATGATCACATTGGTGCCATCCTTCATTTAGCTAAAAGGGATTCCTGGGGTATACCTTCTCTGATGGCCACAGTGCCGGCCCCTTCCTACCACTCAGCCTTACCTAAACGTGATCTTCGTTCCTCTGGCTTTACTCAGCCCGAGGCAGAGAATCATGGTATAGAATCATGAAGCACAATCAGGGCTAGAGGAAGGACAAGCAAAAAATCCAGAAAGCCTTCACAGT